AAATAAGATCATTCTCGTTGTGCGCGTTGAATAATTTGATACTGTTTATGACATTTCCTTTCCAACAATTTACTTCTGACACTTCCCCAGCGCAGTTGAAGTCTCGGTGGACTCCAACGCGATGAGTTGTTCTTGACCAGCATATCACAAATTAACACAGTCAATCACTCCATTTTCTTTCAGTTCTTCGGTTGTTAGCAATCACAACAAACGAACAAGTCTTTAGGGAAGATTACGAAGGCTATGAGAGTGCTTCGTAGTTCTATAGCATAGCGGATCTCATATGCAGGAAGCATTGCACTTGAAGCTGCAATCATACTTTGCGACCAGCAGCGTCCACCAACGACACCAACATATCCAGCGCGGCAACGTTAGCGACTAGGAAAGTGTAGACCCTCGGTCCAGCACCCACCAGCATCCTCTACGTCCACCAGCAATCTGCAGTGACCAGCAGCTTCTCGAGGGCTAGGGAAGAATAGGGATCAAGCTAACGACCAGCGGCGTCTAGGAGTGGAGAATATGATGCGATAGGAAGGTAACAGACAGCTGGTAGAGTATGCGGAGCTGACTGCTGGTAAAGAATACGGGGCGATAGGAGGGTACCAGCTGTCTGCTACCCTCCTATCGCCCCATACTCTCCACTCCTGGACGCTGCTGGTCGCTGGTGGACGCTGGTAGACGCTGCTGGTCGCTAGATCGATACCTATACTTCCCTAGCCCTCGAGACGCTGCTGGTCGCTGGTGGACGCTGGTAGACGCTGGTAGACGCTGGTGGACGCTAGATCGATATCTATACTTTCCTAGTCGCTGACGCTGCCGGACGCTCGGAACGCTGTGGTCGCTGGTGGACGCTGCCGCAAAGTATGAACCCCTAATATTATCTGCCCCCGTCTTCAAGTCTTCAACGTAGTCTTCACAGTACCATCCTTTGACGAAAGTCCGACTCCTGATGTACGGAGTGCTGGTTTTCTGTGTTCTGCGAATAGTTGCGCGTTTTTTTTGTAGTTAGAAACGACTAATGACCTCTGCTGATTGGGAGTTTGTCTGCGGGCTTTCCTTTTAGCGTGTGCCTGATATCTGATCGGTGGTGCTCCTTCTTTGTACGAGCAATTCCTGGGCGCAGTTGCAGAGGGTGCACCCTCCTGGGTTTATAGTCTTGTTCGCTGCATATAGAGGGGTGTGTCAGGAGGGATAATAGACGCGGCGCCAAACCCATTCTCCATCGTTTGCTGAAGCGGGAAGCGAAATTAACTGGTGTGAAGCGCCTGATACGATGGATGTGATACAATCTTGTCACTTGTTCCCTTCAACAACTGGTGGAAAACGGATTTGGCGCCGCGCCAGACCTATCCTGTATGACACCCCCGTCATCCTCAGCGATCCCTTAGTGTCAGCGCCAGAGGCGCTGTGGTGATTCCAATATGGTCGTTTTACAGCGCAGTAACGGAGCTGCCCAATCGCCAGTGATTATGCGTTTGTAGGAGACTAGGCTGCGGTAGAACACACACTCCTTGTGTTCATGAGAGGACTTTTCCCTACGAGATAGACGCGAAACGTGCCACCCTGCTTTTGGGTGTATATCATCTCATCCTAAATCGCGGCGGATGAGGCACACGCGCAGCGATATGCGCAGCATTCGCTGCGGGACCCAGTCAACTCAACGTTGCAGCGCTCCTGCGCCTCGATACTTTCCCTGTCTGTTTCACTTCAAGCAACTAGCTAGAAAATGCTCTGCTAGTGGGTGAGATACGGGGACTCGGAAGTAGCGATTTGTATGACATCGGTACATCCCTCCTACTGTCAAAGAGAGGGGGCGCCTCAGCAAGTCAGGGGCTGAGGTTCTCCACCCATACGACTATCGCGGAATATGTATACTAATCAGTTAGAATCGCTGTACTTATACCATGGATGTAGTTGACAAATTCTTTATATTATGATTGCAGCCGACTTCCGAATGGTCGCAGCTTGAGCAGAAACAATTGGAGGCGGCTCTCCAACAGTATCCTAAAGGATGCGAAGATCGGTAGGTTCTTCAAGCTGTCCACTATGGGGTCGGGCAAAAGAATCGTAAATTGCCGCTTCGTCGCGCGCGGCAATGGGCGCGACGTTTCCTTAATTTGCACTACCCTTTCGATTGGAGCATCGGATTTCATGTAGACAAGGACATGGTAGACACTTATGTCTATTTTTGGTCATACATTGTCTATTCTCGACCAGTACCACCTAAAATCGTCGTCATTAGCGGGCGCGACGTCGCACGCGACGCCCACTGGCGCGGCGAATTACGATTCTCTTGCCACATACCCGTCCACCCCTTATAATTTCCACAATAAACGCCAGTTTTTTCTAGATGGGACAAAATTGCGAGCGCCGTGCCGACAAAGTCGAAAGAACAGTGCCAACAACGATTGAAAGAACTCGTCGAGTTGGTGAAGCGGAAAAAGGCAAGCGCGCAAGCCAAGGCTTAGGAAGGTGGTGGTTATTAAATTTGACCAGTATTTGCTTGTGATTTTATTGGTATTTCATTTTTGATGGGGTATATGTGCTTTCTTGCTCATAATGTGCTGCTATATTTTACTTATTTATTTCACGCTAAAAACACTCGAATACAGCAATGATAAAAAAATAACACATCGAAATTTTCATGGCTATGTGTTCATTAAAGCACTGTGATAATAAAGTTGAGCGATGATTGAAAGTTGATTAGCACACTTCTAAGGCACTTGAGGCATCATGGGGGGTCATGCTGTCATGCTGCTCGTGAAAGATGGCAGTACTACTAGTGAGCTCTGCCTAAGGAGAGCTGAGCCTCACTTCGAGCTTTTCACTGGTACCTAAGAAACAAGGTAGATGGAAAGAACATCATCATAGAGAAATGATTAAAGAAATGAATTAACGAAAATCTAATCATCAACATGGAGAAAGTCTTAGACGAAAAATAATATTGTCATCTACAATGACAGAATAACAATTTAGTGCAAGACTGAAAGACGATAGGCAAGAAGATGAAATACACAGACACGAATCAGCATCATTGTCAAAATACAACAACAACGTCCTAAAAAGCTTATAAAATTCAGACAGAAGTCGAGTCGGTGAGACAAACATACAACAGAGTAACCAGAGAGAGATAATAGGCCACCGAAAACATGGACGGAAGTTTCCGAGGAATTGGTGGGAACTTTGAGAGGAAGAGTTTGATGTGGTATAACTCTAGATATGGATCTACGGTCCTTGATTAATCACATACAAGATATTTAACAAATAAATGCTAAGCACTACTGAAATAAATGGGCGAAAATCTCTAGATGAACATACACTCAGAAAGCTTAAAGCAATTTAAGCCAATGACATAATATGTGAGGTATAATAGCTGTCCAGACCGGCATTAGCCGTGTTTTTGTGATCCGAATAAGTGAACCTCAGCACATCTCGATTTGCATTTACGATTTCAGCCAATTCTCCAGCGTTAGTGAGCGAATTTTAATTGAAAAGACACAACAACTCACAATGACGGGAGGTAATAAGTTTAAATCGAAGTAGCTCTATAGGAGAATTGTTTGACAATGCAGAACTTACCTAACCACAGAAGGAAGAAATAAGCAGTACAAGCGCAAGCAACACAAGAGACGAATACAAGAATTGCCAGAGGAGGATACAGGCCACAAAGAGACACACCAGGCAAGCAGAACGCCATACAAGTCGCTCACAGGCGTATTCAAAAGGCACACCAGCAGCAGACGCCTCGTCGTCAACGGCGTTCAACGCAGTAGTGACCTGAAAAGGCAGTGTGAGAAGCGAAAGAGAAGGAAAATAGCCACAAGGACCATCAGGGCACATCGTTGTTGGAGATTCCCCAAGGGGGGGGGCTCGTATTTGGTCCCTGATAGAGAGGGGAGGGGGTACAGACTCGACCAAAATCTCCAACTGATGATGTGCTTACTGGATATGAGTAGTTGAAAGATCATATTGTGGCAGTGAACAATCCTTCCCGACAGGGCACATCATTGGTTGGGGATTTTGCTCGAGTCCGTACGAGCCCCCACCGTTTTTAGTGGGTAGGTGGTACGACCTCCTGGTTCCCTCCTATTCTAGCTGTCAAGCGCGGGGCGGGGCGGGGGGGGGGAGGGAGGATAAATAGCACATGTGAAACGGAAAGAACCGCGAGAAAATACGTCTACTCTCTACGGATTTTTCCCAACTTCCTACCTTTTTTCCGGAATTTCCCGAAAACTTCCTACTTTTACCCAAAAATTTTGCTGTCGAGCGGGGGGAGGGGTATATAGTAGTACACATGAAATAGGAAAACTAAAAAACTACGAAAAGTCAGCAACCCCTCTCAGAAGTGAATTACGACCCCTGCAACAATGAGCAAATACGTCTCTCACCCCTTTACAGCACCCCTGAAACAAGAAAAATCAACGATCAAAAAAACTTTTCTCAGCCCAAAGACGATCTCTTCCCCTGTTGGAGAATGCCCAACAACGACGTGCCCTGGCTTCCAAACCTGCCTCCTTTTTTCAGCAACCTTCCAGGTTGTCATCGTGGAGTAAGAGTTAGAGGTGTATTGAATGATCGTTTGGCAGCAGTTAGCGGGCAGGAGATAGGGAATCGATAATCCTACCAGGAGAAACTCAACGAAACGCTGGAGGATCCGGCTGGCTTGACTGTATAATCGCCTTAGGGGCCTCTAAAGCGGTGGAGGACAAGCTGTACACTCGCCTAAAAG